TCGAGTTCAGAGTCAGACTAGAATTTATTCCATTGGCCAAGTCTAGTCAGTCAGACGTTGATGCAGTACTCTGTCGAAATGACATGAATGAATCGATGTTGTTGACACCTGTCTTCATCATTTAGAGGTTAGTGCTCAGCTGCAACAGGTGATGAGACGCAGAAACAATTTTACCTACGAGAAATGACGTATGAAGGCCATTACACTCAGGAAAAGTTTGTCAATGATGCAACACACCCAACACTTTACAGAAACACACCACACACCTTTCTGATCAGACATCAGCTTGGAGGGCGTCTCAGTAGGCAGAGAGAGGTGCGAGAAACCACTAAAAAAGGTCGGATGTCTGTTTAAGACATAAATTCACATCGTTAGTTGGAGGGTTGTATAAATGACTTTTGTTTATCGACTATACATCTGGCAATTACCTCCTCCTTAACTAATTGATCCTGACTCGTTTACATTTCAGTTAGCACCGAAGTGCCTAGTTCCTACCGTTCTAGATCGGCTGTACCCTCCTCAATTTCTCCTAATCAACAATACTTTGTCTTGGCCGAGACATCTACCACGAGAGGACACTGGCAGCTTATCTCAACAATAGTGATGAGAATATGGACCAGCATGTTGGTCCGTTTCATGTGTCATCATGGCCAGCAGCCTTAACAGAGGATAGAATCGATGTCTGTAAAAAAGTCCTTATAACCAGTTTAGCTTTGAACGGATCCCAAATACATGTTTTTTTACAATTGAGGCTAGCATTACCCAGATAAGGACGCTAACGAGAGAAAAGGAGCCGAGGCTAGCAGTGAATAGCAGAGGTGGGACACGAGTGAGCACCGAAAAACTTTGCTTACTGTACCTTAACATTTCTGGTATCAGTACTCCCTCTACACCAACTACCATGTTTATCTGACGACTTTTTACTTTTACTCTGCTTACCATGTTGAGACACAAATTACCTGTACTTTCTTAACGTCTTACATGTTGAACACAAATACCTGTACGTTCTACTTCTTACATGTTGACACACAACAATCCCTGTATTCTACTTTTACATATTGCAACACAACCTCCGCTTCTCTCCTACTTCTTAGAATTTTGAGACCCAAATACCCTGTACTCCGCCGTGTTCCTACTTTTACATAGTTGAACACCAATACCCTGTAACCTTTCTACTTCTTAGCATATTGAACAGCGAAAATACCAGCGCGTACCTTTCTGACTTCTTGACATATCTGACAACCACAAATACCTGTACTTTCTACTTCTACACCTGGTTTGGACCTACTACCTGTGCGGAACCCCCAAAAAAAGACCAAAAAAAAAGATATAACACAATATGGAACTTTAGTAAATTTCGAGAGTGTGCGCTACTATGTGCATAACACAACACAACCTTGTACTTTTCTCAACTATCACACGATATATTTTGGGGAGTATACAAGATTACACCTGTACTACATTCTACTGTCCTTACAAACGACCTATATTGATTCCACTACTTCAGAATACCTGTTAAACTTTTCTAATTCTTATCATTTGAACCAAACCACTGTACTGTTTCTACACCTCTTATGTTGCCACACAACTACCAGTATGTTTTCCTACTTCTTCACATCGTTAAACCAACACCTAACCTGTACGTTTTTTACGCTTCTCTAATTCTACATGTGAAATCACAAATACCTGTACTTTGCATAGCTGACGATGTCCGCAACCATAACCGCCTGCTTTGTCTAGCGTATCACTACCGCAGCTATCCTTAACCTGTTTGCAGAGAGAGCAAATCCACATGTCTAAGGAACTACACCATTTAGCTCACATGGCGAGCGGCTTATC